GGCATGAGCCACCATGCTCAGCTCTATTTTAAATTTTTCTATATTGTTTCCAAAATTGTTGTACCAATTCACGTTCCTACCATTCCCTTTTCTCCACATTCTTGACAGCACTTCTTTCTTCTTGTCTTTTCAATAACAGCTATTTTGGGGGGAGTTACAAGGATTGAACTCAGGGGCACTGAACCCTGAGCCACATCCTCAGCTCTATTTTATTTAGAGACAGGCTCTCACTGACTTGCTTAGCATCTTGCCATTGCTGAGGCTGGCTTTGAACCTGAGGTTCTCCTGCCTCAACCTTGCAAGCCATTGGGATTACAGGCATGTGCTACCACGCCCTGCTCAATAATGGCTATTTTAATGGGTATTATATCTGGTTGTGTTTCACTCTGTATTTCCCTGATGATTAGGGATGTTGCACACCTGTTCTTGTACCTGTTGGCCATTTGTTTATCTTCTTTTAGAAATGTCTATTCAGGACCTTTGCCCATTTTATAATTGGGCTATTTGTTCTTTTGCTATTGAGTTGTGTGAATTCCTTATATATTTTGGATATTAACCTCTCATAAGATGTATGGTTTGCAACTATTTTCTCCCATTCCATAAGTTGCCTTTTCACCCCCCTCCTTTTTTTTTTTTTTTTTTTTTTTGCTGTTCAGAAGGCTTTAAATTTAATGTGATCCTACTTGTCTATTTTTGCTTTTTTTTTTTACTAAACTTTTGGTGTCATATCCCAAAACTGCCAAGACAATGTCAGGAAGTCTTTCCTTTCCTCTTTATTCTAGTAGTTTTTTTTGAGGGGGGGTGGGAACTGTGGATTGAACTGACAGGCACTTGACCACTGAGCCACATCCCCAGCCCTATATTTTACTTTATTTAGAGACAGAATCTCACTGAGTTGCTTAGTGCCTCGTCACTGCTGAGGCTGGCTTTGAACTTGCAATTCTCCTGTCTCAGCCTCCCGAGCAGCTGGCATTACAGGCGTGCACCCCCGTGCCTGGCCTCTTCCAGTAGTTTTAAGTGCAATTTCAGATCTGATGTCTAGGTCATTAATCCATTTTGAGTTGATTTTCACATGTGGTGTGAGATAAAGGCACCAATTTCTTTCTTTAGCACGTGGATGTCCAGTCTCCCAACACCAATTACTGAAGAGACAAGCCTTTCTCCACTGCATTTTCTTGGCACCTTTGTGAGTCCACGTTGGCTGTAAGTGCATCACTGGATTCTCTCCTCTGCTTCACTGATCTACATATCTGTTTTCACTGTCAGCACCATATTGTTTAGATCATCGAGGCATTTTATTATATTTTGAAATAAGGAAGTGTGATACCTCCAGCCTTGTTATTTTTGCTCAAGATTGCTTTGGCTATTTGTGATCTTTTGAGGTTCCATATGATTTTCAGGATTGTGTTTTCTTAGTCTGTATAGAATGCCATTGAGATTTTGTTAGTAACTGCATTAAATCTGGAGATCACTTTGGGTGTTGCATGGTGGTCTTTAATATTAATTCTTCCAGTCACGGGTGTGGGATGTCTTCCCACTTATCTGTGTTTTCTTTAATGTCCATCATCAGTATTTCATCATTTTCAATATACTAGTCTTTCACCTCCTTGGCTAAGTTTATTCTTAAGTATTTTATTCTTTTAGTTGTTAATATAAATTTGGTTTTCTGATTTTTGGATGATTTTCTGATTTTTATACTGATTTGGTATTCTACAACTTTATTTGGTTTATTCTAACAGCTTTTTATTGAGTCTTTGGGGTTTTCTAAATGTATGATCATGTCACATTCAGAGAAAATTTTCCTTCTAGTTTGGATTCTTTTTATTTTTATCTAATTGTTTTGGCTGAGGCTTCCTGTACTATGTTGAATAGCAGTGGTGAGGGTGAGAATTCCTGTCTGTACCAGCTCTTAGAGAAACAGCTCTCAGTTTTTCCCCTATTGATTATGTATTCTGTGGGATTTACACATACAGTTTTGTGTTGGAATTAAGTTCCTTCTGAGCCTATTTTGTTGTGTTTTTATAATCAAGAATGTTGAATTTTGTCATAAGTTTTTTTTTTCTATATCTATTATCATGTGACTTTCATCTTTTATTTTGTTAATTGTGGTGTATCACACTGATTGATTTGCATATTGGGCCATCCTTGCATCCCAGGGATAGTTCCTATTAGGGCAGAGTACAATGTTTTGAACATGCTGTTGAATTGGTTTTTTAAAAATGCCCACTTTGGGGAATGATATTGACCAAATTATAAGTTATATTATTTGTTTGTGTAAGTATGTAACCATAAATCCCCACTGTTATGTAGAATTATAATGCATCAATAAAAATATGGAAAAAGAAGAAAAATAAAAAATAAACTGCCTATTTGACCTTCAGGAAGTGAGAGGGGTACTGATGCAGAGGGTCAAGGCACCAGGCAGCTTCTAGGGCTCTGATTATGGTCTTTTTGTTGGATTAATGGTATTTCAACTAGAAGATGGAAGGCAACTGTGCTCCTCTTTGACCAATCCACTCTTTAAGTAGATAATGGAACTTCAGAGAAATCCCCATCCAGCATTTGTGGATCCTCATGGACCATAATTTTAAGTAATCAGCACACCAATGCACATCTTGAGGTGACATTCCCTAGATAAAGTCAAGAGACAAGCACTCAGTACTCTGCCACTGTGTAAATCTGTCCTTCTCTTATGCAGTGCTGGGTTTGGATGTGAGATACGAGAAACTTGGGCTTCCTTATTTATCTTTCYGTATCTTGTGATAGAATCACTTAACTTTACGCTGAGGGCATATTTTTAAAAGAATTTCCCTCCTGTCTAAAGACCATGCCAATACTGTGTTGCGGCCATCAATCTTTGAAGGTCTGTTTCCTCTGTCATTTCTTAACATGTCATTTGGTAAAAATAAAACTTTGTTAGGAGTTAAAAAAAACCAAAAAAATCAGACATGACACTGTCTCCATAAAAACAAAAAGTTTAATAAATGCACCCAAAAGTATAAAATATGAAGACTAAAAGTTAGATATTAGGCAGAATTATAAAATGGAGTACAATTACTTTCATAGTTCAGAGAAACCATGAAATGTCAAATTGAAGAATGTCAGTGTATGAGAAAAATATCAACAGTCCTTCAGTCATGTGCCATATAAAGATATTTTTTAAATGCTACAGTTAGAGGCATTGTATTTAAAAGTTTAATAAACTTCTGATTCTGACACAATGTCATGAAAAACAGAACAAACTCTTTGGTTAGGAATACCGAAAATCCATCTATAAAGAGTAAGAAATTTGCCAATGGTGTTATTAGTTCCATTCAAAAAAAGCATATGAATTTCATTTCAGGAACAAACTGTCCCATTGCAGTGTAGGATGACCAATCTACACAAGTATTGCCTTGTCTAAAATCTGTACAACCTCTCCAGTTCCTCTGCATTTAGTCTATTAGCTTTTCTCTTTTTATTAAAAATAGAAATTCTTAAGGCACCTAAAGATTAGCCTGTATTTCATCTACCTGTATTGTAAGTGCTTAATAATATTTATAAAAAGCAAAAGAATGGTATATAGATAATACAAAGAATGTAGAGTCAAACCAAATCAATAGTTGATTACATAATATTCCATCTTTTCTTGGGTTCTTATTAAGCAGAATTATTTTCACTCCTTGAGCATGCAGGAGTCTGCCTAGGAATGTGCTCAAAGAAAAAATCCAGCCTCACGTTCAGAATTGCTCTGGAATGCCATTTATGGACTAAGAAGATCCAAGCCTAAAGTGGTTAATGACAGATGAAGAAGTCAGAGGTAAATGAGATCTGGTGTCTTTACTGGTCTAGAAAACAGAGCAAGGAAGGGTGGCAATCACAGGAGGCCCTCCTGATCAAAGTGTTCAAGTTCAGTATTTCATCTTTGGCTCTTTTCTTGCCTTCTTTGCTACTGGGCGTAAAAGCAGTCACTCCTTCCCTCCTTGAGGAAAGTAAGTATGAGGCCCATGGATGTGGCCCAGTCTCCAGCTGCTGGGAGCTTACATTCTGTTATATTTCAACACATAAGGCATCGTTCTAAGTTAGTTTAGAATGGTTGTTTTAAATGATCAAATGTCTAGTAATTTTTTAAAAGCTGGCTTAAACCAACATTAATCAATAATACATACTGATTTCTTAACATCATTTCTAAGCAACGAAAATACAACCTATAGCATTCAAATGGGATGGGATATTCCCTTAAGCAACCTTCTTAAAATTCATTCACATGTGGACCGGGCATCAACTAAGAGCAAGGGGCTGGAAGAGAGCAACAGTGCGACATCCTTGTCTCAAGGAGTCAGTCTGGGCTGAAAAGGGCCCCAGCTAACTGGGGCGAGCTAYAGGCTCAAGAGGTGGCAGAACTGAGAAGTGGCTCAGAGAGCACTCTCCATCACAAGGACTAGTGGTGCCAAAGGATGACACTTCTTCACCAGGTGTCTTAAGTTCACTAGGCCTCAGCTTTATTAGCTACCACCTGGCACCCTTTTAATGTGGCCACTATCAACATACACAAAGGTATGGTGCCAGCATCAGGAAAGGCTCAAAAATACAGTTGCTCATATTTTATCATGATTTCTTCCACATAAAGAATATTATGGGAAAATCAAGGAAAGGGCCAGTTATTCTTTGAAGCACATTCCCTGGAGGAAATACCAGCACACTGGGCAGGACAACTCTTCATTGCACAGGACCACTTTTCATACAGCATCCCAGGAGCAGGACACCCATCATCATGATGAACCAAACAAAAAAAAAGAAAAAAAGAAAGAAAGAAAGAAAGAAAGAAAGAAAGAAAGAAAGAAAGAAAGAAAGAAAGAAAGAAAGAAAGAAAAGAAAGAAAATGCACTCACATATTTCCAAACATCCCTGGAAGGGGTTACCACCTGGGATGAGAACTGTTCTTCTAGAGGGATCTTCTTTATTAAGAAACAATGTAGTTCTTTTAATAAAGAATAAGCACACCTTCCTGTATTTGTCTTTGAGAGTATTCAAGGATCAGCCATAGAGAGCCTGGTGGCAGGGAGAACAGGAGAGGACTCTAACCTACCCCACATCCATTCTGATGACAGTGTCCAAGGCTGGACGCCACTTTCATATTGTTGGAGATCTTAAAAAGTTGGGAGGTAGATCTTCTACCTCTTATTTTCATCTCTAGACTTTTGGTCAAATTGGAAAAGATATGAGGCATTTGACCTTCCTTAGTGCTGAGAGGTAGAGAGAAGGCAAGTGTTGCTACCTTCATTGTAACGTGATGGAGGCACTGAGGGATGAGAAGATATATTCATTGGTGGATGCCATGACAACTAAAATCCGGAGTTCCTGCTTCCTGATCGGGTACTTTGGTAAATTAGATACATGTGTTACTAAAGTATCCTGCTGAGGAATCCTCCAAGATGGAAGCTCCCAGGAGCTCTAACCTCTCTCCAGCTATTGTTCTCTTATCTGAGCCTAACCTGGATCCGCTAAGGTGCTGGACCCACTGTCAATTGCAGTAGTCACATTTAGAAGAACACATATTTAGGTATCTGTTTACCTTCTCTTTTTTAGGTATCTTTGTGCTTCATCTCTTCGAAATGATTATATTAAATGGATAAGGAGCTAACGTTAGACCAAATCTTCCAGTCAGGTTGGGCTTCTTAGAATCCTTAGGTAAAGCAAATGTGAAAGTCTGCATCAGGCTCACAAACATGAGGAATAGTTCCATCTTTGCCAGCTGCTCTCCCATACACACCCGCTTCCCTAAAAATGAGATAAAAAAGTAAAGGTTATAATATCATCCCTTTTACTATTTATAAAAGTACAAATTTATAAGAAATCTCTAAATTAAGTACTTTAAATGCACATGGGAGAGTTTTAAAATTSCCATTTATACCATAAAATCTCCCACGGTGTATACTGATCAAAATTTCTGTATACCAAGTTCACACTTTCACTCCTACTAATGAAAACCTATCATCTAGACAGGAACCGCAGACAGATCCAATGTGCAGCTACCCTGTCTTTTCCACAAGTACTTATGTGTTTCCTTTACTGTCACCTGGAAGATTAAAGGGGGGGAAAGTCAGATTAGATTCTTTGGAACCTTCCTTTTCCATAGAAAGGATCCACATTACTAATCTGGAAACCCAAAAGGACCTGGTGAGATTAGACAACCCCCCTCCCCCATCAGCCTACAGGTCACAAGTTCCTCTTAACTCCAGTGGTTTCCTGGGACCTAAACAATAGCCTAGACAGCCCAGAAAGGAAGATTTCAAGGCATATTTAAAGATCAAAAGCCAACTGCCTTCTTTTTTCTTTTTTAAGATTGACCCCAAGGCCTTGCACACACTAAGTAAAATGTTCTACCAGTGAGATACACCTCCGGCTCTTATTTTGTTTTAAAATTTTGAAATGAACTTAGAGAAGATGCATTATCTAAATTATTTGCCTCTTACACTATCTTGTCAATAAAGAGGCATTCTTAAAACAACATAAAATAATAGAAGATTGTTTTTAGTTCTGCCTCCCCCCACATCCACCTTTGTGTGGAGCTGGGGAATTGAACCCAGGGATTCACGCATGCTGCAACAGAGCACTGACTCTACTATGCTCCCAGACCAAAGTTCTACTTCTTTTTAGACTTATACCATTAACAAAACAAAAGTTTGACTGACCTATCCCAAATGGAATAAAAAATTCTTTTTTTAAAAGTTGTCCTTGGTCATCCAGAAATCGATCTGGGTAGAAGTCTTCTGGTTTCTCCCAAATGGTTGGGTCTCTGTGTACTGACCATAAATTGGGTAAGATCAATGTTCCTTTAGGAATGGTGTACCCTTGGAGCACTACAGCAAACAAACAAACAAAAAAACCCCACAGTGTTATTCAGCGTACTTATGAGTTCACTAATAGTTCTCCCTAATTACCACTATCTGACCCAAAAAAAAAAATCTAGTTTTGTATCTATTTATCTCTCTCTCTCTCTCTCTCTCTCTCTCTCTCTCTCTCTCTATATATATATATATATATATATATATATATATATATATATATATTTGCCATCTTAATTAGCTGAGAGTAAACTGTGAGGAACTTTAGAGTAGGGATAAGATGTTAGTATGGCATCCTTCTACCCATACCATCCCAGGATCTAGCCAGAGACGGGACATAGTAAGTACTCTGATAGGTGTTGAGTTAATGCATTCAGTCAAACCATATAAAAACATTATGATTAAGTGAAAACATAAAAACAAAAACAATAGAGCATCACAGATGAACTTTCCCAAAGAATTACAAATTCCTGAGAATCATATAAAACATATCTGTTTACAGGGTTTTTTACATCTACAGATCAATCTGATGAGGAAGGTAAATGAAGATAAAGGGTGTACAGGAAAGTCAGCCCCTGCTCTTACTAGCTAACAAGTTAGTATGCACTGTAAGAGTCCATTATCTAGGGCCAATGCCCAAAAGACACCATGCACATTGGAGAGTATCTAATTTGTACCAAAAAATGGTTAAGTGATCCAACATCATTTATAAGTAACTGCTTGCTACAACAAGCCCACTGAATTATGCACTATCTCTAAAGAAGGTAAATTCCTTATTAATAGGGATGTTCAAAGACATCTGGAAGTGACCAACTGGGCATATTTCACRGTCACTAAGAAGTTGAAATGAGAGACCCTAGAATCAGAGGGGCTCCTTCTAATTCTTTTTTGGTTGCAGAATTTAAAACATTGAAGTGGGGTAATTTCCAGCTAACTCCTTAATTTCACATTTAGACCAGCTCTTCTGACTTCCACGTTGAGGACTAGAGATGCCTTTGTTAATTCTGGGATTTTTTTCTGCCAACACAGCTGACTGAAATGGTGCACTATTTGTTTTGCCAGGATAAGCGTGAATGCTCTGAAGGCTGGAGAGCTATTAATCACACTCAGCTAGTGCTGGAATGTCAGTGCAACTAATGACGGACAACTGAGGGCTGAAACATCCCCTGGAGAGTTCATTATCTAGGGCCAATGCTAATTCCAGTGCTCCCCGTGCCTCTCACCCCAGCTCTACAGGGTCTGGGGGCTGTGCTCCCCGCAAGGGCATCCAAAGGAGAAAGTCCCTGGACTTGCCTGTTTTCTCTGAGGTCATGTGAGGAATGGCGAGTGGCACCACCACGGTTAGCCTCTGCACCTCCATGATGGTGGCTTCTGTGTAGGGCATCTGGGCCTTGTCTGTGAGGGAAGGAGGTCGGTCGGGACCAATGACCCTTTCAATTTCTTCATGAACCTTTTCTGCATAAAAAGGGAAGAATCAACCAGAAGTTGAGCCTGCACCCATGCACACTTCCCTTTACCACTTACACGTGATTGACTAGCTGGCAGGGCAGGGAAGTGATGTGCCAAGTGGAGACAGCTATCCCCAGGAGGTTGTACCATGCTAGCTGGGTCTTTTAAAGGAGGATAGCAGAACAGATAGAGGGGCAAAGGAGAAAGCACCTGGATTCAGGAGCACCCTGAATCACACTCTCATGCRAACAAAAGCTTGACTCTCTAAGCTGACTGTAGCAATAGTGTTAGCCCAAGATGGCCTCCAGTGAACCCTGTTCCGTGGGGTTTGCTATTACTGGGATCTGGAATATCCCCTGAAGGCTCATGCATTAAAGGCTTTTTCCCCATAGTGTCACTAAGAGGTGGTGGAAACTTTAAGTGGTACCTAGTGGGAAGTTCTAGTTCATTAGGGGTGATCTTGAAGAGGGCAGTGGAATCCTGCCCCTTCTTCTCTCTTTCATATTCTGACCATGAGATATGCCTTGCTTTACCATGTGCTCCCCATATGACGTGCTGCTCTGCCACAGGCCCAAAAGCAATGGAGCCAACTGACCATGGACTGAAACCTTTGAAACCATGAGCCAAAATAAAACTGTTCTTGGTAAGTTGATTGTCTCAGGTGTTTTGTTACAGTAACAGAAAACTGACTAACACAGGGTCCCTATCCTAGTGCATTCCCCCTCACACTTTGTAGCAAGTTGGTACAAGTTGTGATCAATGAGAAGGGAGAAGGTCACTTCTGAGATTAGTCTTTGCCACTCATTCTCTCAAGTCACTCACTCTGGGGGAAGGTAGTTGCCAAGTTAAGTATCCTTATGTAAAAGGTCAGAGTAGTCTGTAGCCAACAGTCATGTGGATTGTCAACTTCGAAGTGGGTGCTTCAGTCCCTGCCAAGTCTGTAAACGACTGTGGGCCCAGCCAACATCTTGACTGCAACTCCATGAGAAACTTTGGACTAGAATCATCCCAGACAAGCTGTTCCTGGATTCCTTACCCTCAAAAACTACATGAGAAAATAGTTATTGTTTTAAACTGCTAAATTTTGGGATGATCTGTTATTCAGCAGTAATTAATATAGGTCTGCACCAATTCCACCCATGGTAGGAAAAATAACAGTCCCTCCAAGATATCCATACCCTAATATTACCTTTGGTACTTTGTAAATATGACATGTTACATGATATCTTCTTCCATTTTCTGTAGCTATAACAAAATACCTGAGGCTGGGTACTTTACAAAGACAAGAGGCTTATTTAGCTCAGAATTTTGGAGGCTGAAAGTCCAAGATCAGGTTAGCCCCATCTGTTTGGCATCTGGTAAAGGCCCCTTCAACYGCATCACAACATGGAAAATGACATCACAGCAGCATTGCATCTGAGAGGGAGAGACTGTTCAGCAAACAGGAAGCCAAAAGGATTCAGGGGCAAACCTGCTCTTTTTATAATACCCACCCTTGCAGGAACTAATTTGTCCTATGAGAACCTCATTAATCCCTTAGAGGGAATAGCCCCCAAACTCCATTACCTTGCTCTAGATGCCACTTTTCACAGGTTCCACCACCTCAACCCTGCACACTGAGAACCAAGCTTCCATCACATAAACCTCTGGRGGGACACCTTCAAACTATACCTAAACCATGGCACCTGACCAAAGGGACCATGTTGATGTGATTAAGTTAAGCTCCTAGAGATGGGGAGACTATGCTGGGTTATGTGGATGTGCCCAACCMGTGCAGCCATACTCTGCATAATGATGTTTCAGCCAACGACAGACCCGTGGACAGTGGTCCATAAGATTATATTGCCTAGTGACACTGTGGCTGTCTTGTTTTAAGTGCGCTCTGTGATGCTCGCCCAATGATGAAAGTACCTAATGAGACATTTCTCAGAACATGTCTCATCGTTAAGTGACACATGGTTGTACACAGGTTTTAAAGTCAGAGAGCCTTCGCAGTTGAGTGCAGAGGCACAGGGAGATATGACTATGAAAGAATGGCCAGAGATGTGACATGCTGGCTGTGAACTGGAGGAGGGAGCCAGAAGCCAAGAATGCTAGGAAGGGCAAAGAAATGGATTCTCCTCCAGGGCCTTGGGAAAAGAACTGTCAACATCTTGATATTTAGTCCAGTGAGACATATGTCAGACTTCTAATGCATAGAACCAAATGATAACAAATTTGTGTTCTTTTAAAGACACCAGCAGCAATAAAAACCAAAGGTTATATCCTGTTATAGCAGCATAGAAACTAAAACACCACCCTTTCCTCTTCTCCTATTTCCTGTTGCCAGTGCTCACTATCTATTGGTCCTGACATGGTGCAACCAGCTGGGCTACTTTCATGAGCTGCTCTAGGCTTCTGTCTTCTGTTTTCAAAACCAGGTGAGTAGGTTCAGAGGAGTGTTATGATCCCCTTCAGTTCCAAAATGTCCTACCACTGTACATTTCATAGGTAACAGACCTGTGGAGATTAAAGCGGGGRGGGGGGCAGTTATGACAGGAGTCCTACTGTCTGCAAACTCGGAGTTTCACATGCACTTTGCACCAACTCCCTATGGGATGCAAGCATTTATTTTCTCATCCAGCCTGAAGATACTGCTTAGTGCTTGAAGGTTGCTAATCCTGATTTCAATAATCTGGTTTTGCTATGAATAAAGAATTCATCGGTTACCTTGTACATCAGGGTTCAATGACATGTACAGCAGGCACCACAGCAGAGAGTTTGTTGTGGTATCTGTCCCAGCAATAAAAAGATCCCCGATGATATAGAATAAGTAGTCTTCATTAAAACTACTGTGGCTGTTATTTTTCCTCTCTTCCTCCATGTGCAGAAGGTACATGTCTATGAAGTCCTGAGGGTTCTCACCATCCAGAGACTCTTGATGGTCTTTGATGATCTGTTTAAGGAAAGTGGTTATATCCTTTTCAATTAGTCTTAATTCCTTATATGGTCCAAAGGGAAGGTAATACAGCCAGGGGMATATGTTGATCAGGAGGAGCTGGCTGTTGAGGCAGATTTCTAACCCTCGGGACATGAAATCTAGCATCCTCTTAAACTCACTGTTGGTATAATCAAAGCGACGTCCAAAGCACAAGGAGCAGATGATGTTAGAGACGGCGTTGCTGAGGATGGGGAAAGGGCTGAAGGGATTTTCTCCCTGCTTTTGCATTTCCTCCTTCACATACTTGAACTCCTCAATAATCTTGGGCTCCAAGCTAAGCTTTCCCAAGCCAAAATGGCGAAGAGTGGAATGAGAGAACTTCCTCTGTTGTCTCCAGACTGGGCCATAAGGTGCGAAAACAATCCCTGTAAAAGGATACCCAAGAAAGGAAGGTGAGAGAGAAGGTTGCACAACAAGACTGAACAGGACCTGCAGGGGCATATATTCTGCATGTTTCAGAGCATTTATGCAAAGTTCATAAACAGATAAAGACCACTGGTCAAGAAGGAAGACTAACAAAATTTAGTCATTGAGATAGTTTATGTTTCTCATAACGATGAAAATCACCTCCACTTCAATTGGAAGAATTTGCTATAGAGCTATTTTACCATTGATAATAATTCTTGGTAACATGAAGAGCAAAGTTTCAATGTCCAAAACTAGTATGTGCATTTAAAAATCTTTCTATTTCGTAAGAGTGAATCCATGCTTAGAAAAATCTATCAAGCCAAGCTAGGTGTGGGGGCTTACTCCTATAATCCCAGGGTTTTGGGGGGCTGAGACAGGAGGATCGTGAGTTCAAAGCCAGCCTCAGCAATGATGAGGTGCTAAGCAACTCAGTGAGACCCTGTCTCTAAATAAAATACAAAATAGGGCTGGGGATGTGGCTCAGTGGTTGAGTGTCCCTGAGTTCAATTCCTGATAGCTGCCCCCCCCCCAAAGCAAATATATCAAGGAAGACACATCCATGAGCAAATCATCTATATTCTAAACATTAGCAACAGAGGGATAAGTATGGTAACAGATGGACTTGAGGGCAGAGACTATATCTGATTGTATTCACCATTAAAATCCCAGCTTCTGGAATACTGCTGGGTACACAGGAGGAACTTGCTAATTATTAGCTGAATAAATGAGCAGCACAATTGGATTCGAATTACTAGCCTTCAATGTTTAGAATCTTGCAACTGGCAAGTAATCTTAAATATCAGTCATTGGTAACACTCCTCTTTTATTTATTTTTCATTTTTAATATATTTTTTAATTTGTTCTAATTACACATGACAGTAGAATGCATTTTGACATATATGGAAGTAACTTCTAATTTGTCTGATTGAACATGATGTAGAGTTACACAGGTCATGTAATCATATATGCACATAGGGTAATACTGTCTGAYGCATTTTACTATCCTTCCTACATCCATACCCGCTTCCCTCCCTTCACTTCCTGTCTAGTCCCAAATGCCTCTATCTTACCCACCCCTTATTATGAATTACCATCTGTATACCAGAGAAAATATGTGGCCTTCATTTTTTCATATAGTTATTGGCCTATTCTGGCTTCTTATTCTAACAATTCAAGTTTCTAACAATTTGCATGCCTGAAAATATATTTATTCCACCATTGCACGTCCTCTGAATTTGGAAGACCATGCTAAGACTTGATTGATGGAGTTATAAAGTACACACATTATTTTTCTTAGTATAATATTCTCTAGTTTCATCCATTTACCAGAAAATGCCATAATTTCATTCTTCTTTAAGGCTCAGTAATATTCTGTTGCATATATATACCAGAGTTGCTTTATTCATTCATCTGTTGAAGGGCACCAAGGTTGGTTCCATAGTTTAGCTATTGGGTAACACCCCTCTTTTAAAAACATCTGCACTCATTAAGTTCATTACAAATACTTGATTACTTGATTCTCACTTACTTGCTCATCTCCCACCATCAAACCCAACAATATTATTCCCAGATGTATCAGTTGTTCTCAAATATTTCCCGTTTCCTGTCACCTATTTTATTCTCCTGGTTTTCATGGTGTGTTTTATCATTTCAGCCAGTTCTTCTTCCTTCCCATATCATTTCTGAATGCTTACTCTGTGCTAGGAAATAGGATGTCAGGTACAATTGAGAATGAAATACAGACCCTGCTCGGTGATTAAGTCTTCTCATACTCTTTAATACTTTTATAAAATGCCTTTCAATGTTAAGCATCCATGTGGTCAAATAAATCAGATGGTCTGTCTATCCCGTGTTCCTTCCTGGACTCTTCCAAATGTGTACAACTCTGAAGTGGCTGATCCCTAGGCTTCCCGTCATCACTTGGGGATTTCCTTAGGACTCTTCTGTGTCGGAATCCATTTCCTGGTTCCTATGTCTTTCTCTTTCTTGTTTTACTCCCAAATCTTGCTGAAGTACTTTCTCTAGTAGTTCCCAGAAAAAAAATGCATGGAAGGCCAGTTTCTAACAGTTTGCGTGTCTGAAAATGTACTTATTCTACACTATGGCACTTCCTCTGAATTTGGAAGAAAGTGCTAAGACTTGATGGATGTCATAAAGTACGGACATCTTTGACACGACTAGACATTGCTAAGTTACTCTCCAAAGTGAGAGCATACCAAAAATGTACCCACCAGAAGTAGATGAGCATTCTCATTTGTTCCAAATAGTTGCCAAGTTGCCATTACTTGATATTTGTCAACATTATTATTTTTGCCAATGGGAGGACTGAGATAATACCTCATGATTTCTATTTGCATTTCTCTGAGGGTTAACTGTGGCTCAGCGCAGCTTTTCATATGGTTACCAGCCTATTTTGGCTTCTTATTCTATGGGTTTATGCTGATCAACCGTACAATTTTCTTCTTATAAATTCTAGGTGCACGGCAGATCTCTCACCACCTGCTCAACCCCCCCCCCCCCCCCCCCCCCCCCCCCCCCCCCCCCCCCCGCCACTTACGGTATTTGATAAACAGAAAGATTTACACTTGCATTTATCAATCTTTTTCTTTATGATACGTGCCGTATATCTTACTTTAGAAATATCTTCCTGCCATGAGCTCAGAGAGACACTATTTTCTTATAAAATTTAAAATTCAGCTTTTTTTCGTGTTCAATTCTCTCTGCCTGGAATTATAATCATGTTAGGTGTTTCTACCTAAGCATAAAACTAAACCTTTTTTTCCTCCATGCAGATGCTCCACTGTTCAAGCACAATTCATTTATCACCTCTCTCACCCCTGGCATCTGTAACGCTGCTTCTGTCGGGTTTCCTACATACTGGTTCTTATAGTTTAGATTTGAGGTGTCACCCAAAAGCTCCTGTGTTAATACAGGAATATCCAGAGTTGAAATAATTGGATTACGAGAGTTGTGACCTAATCAGTCCATCCTAGTTGGAATGGGCTGAGTAGGTGGCAACTGTAGGCAGGTGGGGCGTGGCTGGAGGAGGTGGGTCACTGGTGTGCCCTGAAGGGTTGTTCTTCCTGTGGCCCTTCCCATTCACTCCCAACCTCTCCCTCTCCCCTCACCCTTCTCCCACTCTCTGATTCCTGAGGCTGACGTGAGCTGAGCAGTGTTTCCTCATTGGGTCCTTCCTCCATGATGTGTTCTTCATGGACTGAGACTTCTGAAACCCTTAGCCCCAAACAACTCTCCCCACCCCCAAGCTGTTCTTCTTCTTCTTCTTCTTTCTTTTTTTTTTTTTTAGTTGTAGATGGACACAATACCTTTATTTTGTTTATTTATTTTTATGTGGTGCTGAGGATCAAACCCAGGGCCTCACATGTGCAAGGCAAGTGCTCTATCACTGAGCCCCAACCCCTGCCCTTTTTTAAAAAGCAATATTTGAAATTATTTGTGTTTTCTGACTCTTCCACTAGGATATATTTCATGAAGGCATAACTTTTATCCTTAGTGCCTCATAGTAAGTATTAAATAAACTTTACTGAATAAAGAAATGAATATGTGACAGAGGAATAAAAAGGTTCTAATTAATAAAGGAAAAGGTGATTTCTTCTATGTATGTATTTAACTTAACGGATAAGAGAAATCAGTGAAAAGGGAAAGTAAGAATTTTTTTTTGTAAGAGAGTGAGAGAGGAGAGAGAATTTTTTAATATTTATTTTTTTTTAGTTCTCGGCAGACACAACATCTTTGTTGGTATGTGGTGCTGAGGATCGAACCCGGGTCGCATGCATGCCAGGCAAGCGCGCTACCGCTTGAGCCACATCTCCAGCCCCGGAAAGTAAGAATTTTTAAGGATATTAGCAAAATACCAACATTAACCTCAGCATATCTCTATCTTAATAGTATCATCTAAAAATAGGAGAAAATAATTTCAGAGATCATAGCTTTCATTACCAAGATAAAAACAAAATCAGAAACAGAAAAGCCACCCTAAATTTCGAACACATAGGAGTCAACAATTCATTATTCCCTGTAGTTAGAAGAAATTAAACCCAAATTCAGAAATGGAAAACAGGCATGTTTTATAACTATATTAATTAAAGATCTTTATAATCAGGGAGCCCTATGAAATATTCAAAAGTAACTGAACCACAAAAAAAGTTTCATATTTCAAGGTTTCTGGAGTCTAGATGTAGTTAATAGTTCATTTATTTAGAATATATGTAGAATACTTTAATACTTCTAAAAGTAATATTGTATATTAAACATATTACTTGCTTCCAAAATTAGGTGTACATTTCCACTTTTTAAAAATCTGTCATAAACAAAGCATAGTGATACTCCCAGCTGTTTCTGAAGCTGATGCAGGAGAATGGCCAAGTTTGAGGCCAGCCTAGGCAACTTAACAAGACCCTCAAAATAAAAAATAAAATGGGCTGGGGCCCAAGCTGTTCTTATAAGATATTTTGGTCACATTGACAACAACAGTGACTAAAACATCAGTTTATAGGTTTTCTATTCTGCTACATTGGATAATTATCACTGTTTAAAGCTGCTTCTTCTTCTTATTATTATACCAAGGATTGAACCCAGGGGCAATTAACCACTGAGCCACATCCCCAGCCCTTTTATATGTTTTATTTAGAGACAGGGTCTTGCTGAGTTGCTTAGGGCCTTGCTAAATTGTTAAGGCTGGCTTTGAACTTGAGATCCTCCTGCCTCAGCTTCCCGAGTTGCTGAGATTACAGGCATGCACCACTGCACCCAAGATAAAGCATATTATCTTTTTTTTTTAATATTTATTTTTTAGTTGTAGATGGACACAATATCTTTATTTCATTTTTATATGGTGCTGAGGATCAAACCCAGTGCCTCACGAGTGCTAGGCGAACACTCTACCACTGAGCCACAACCCAGTCCCAAGCATATTATCTTAATCATTTATTTTATA